AGACCCTTGCAGTGTTGTTGTGGAAAAGACCAGATTGTACAGAGAAGAGCCCATGATGATACATTTCTGTGATTAATGCAGCAGCACATGTGTACATTGGGTTTTTTCAAAAGCCGTGTTTGCCTGAAGATTGTACACAGAGGACGTATTTGGTTACATACACCTGGAGGTTGTCAGGTTTAGTCTGTAAGGCACAGAAGGAAAGAGTAACTCATGTGGCTCTGGCTGGCAGCCTGAAAGACGCTGTGTCAGGAACCGGTCTCCATCTTCCGTTTTTTTTCTTTTCTTTTCTAGTCTGGGCTTAATGGAGATGTTTGTGAACTGCTTTCAAGGGTGTGGGGTCCTGTTCGACAGTGGCCTTGCCCAGAGCCTGAGTACTCAGTATTGTTCTAGTAATCCATACCACCTTTTATCTTTTGCAATGAAGCCTGACCCGTAGCCATTTCATCTCCCTTCCTTAGGGGCGGTATCATTCTTCTGGGAGTTTTCCTCCCAGAATTCCTTTGAGAACACCATTAGAGAAGAGGAGGAACCTAGACCTCTTCATTAAGAACTGTCCTTGAAGGAGTCCCTGCATAAAGAAAATAGAAAACGTCCTAATCACCAACAGTAAAAATATCTTGACAACCAAAAGTCCTACACGAGTAAGACTTTACTTAGCAAACGTTCACTGGGAAAACCATACTACTTGCTTTCTGAAAAGGAATACTTTCAAGTTTGGTTTTTAAACATCATCAGTAAAATTGACTTTTTTTCCACTGGTGTAAAGTTCTACGAAGTTTAACACAGGTATAGATTGGGGCGCCTGGGTGGCTCAGTTGGTTAAGCGACTGCCTTCGGCTCAGGTCATGATCCTGGAGTCCCGGGATCGAGTCCCGCATCAGGCTCCCTGTTCAGCAGGGAGTCTGCTTCTCCCTCTCACCCTCCCCCCTCTCATGCTCTCTCTATCTCATTCTCTCTCTCAAGTAAATAAATAAAATCTAAAAAAAAAAAAACCACAGGTATAGATTGATGGAGCCATCACCATAATCAGGATATGGGATGAGTCCATCACCCCAAACCACCCCTTCCTTCACCCTCGTTCCTGGGTTGTCTTTTCAAGAAAAGCATGTAAATGACATTAGTATGTCATATGGTAGGTATCCTTTGAAAACTAATTTTTTTCCCACTCAGCATAATGCCTTTGAGATTCATCCAGCTTCTTATAAATGTCAACACTTTGTTCATTTTTACCGGTAGGTAGTATCTCATTGTACAGATGTACTGCTGTTTATCCATTTACTGATTGAAAAACATTTGGGTTGCTTCCAGTTTTGACAATTATGAATAGAGATGTTATAAACATTTGTTTTGTGTGAACATAATGTTCATTTCTCTAGGGTAGATTCTCAGAAGTGGGATTGCTGACATATACAGTAAATGTATGTTTTACTTTATAAGCAACTGTCAAACTATTTTCCAACCGTCTGTACCACTTTGCATTTCCATCAGCAACATGTACGAGTTCCTTCCAGTCACTCTGCATCCTTGTTAGCGCTTGATAGTGTCCGTATTTTTAATTTTAGCTATCCTAATGGGATTATAGTTGTATCTCATTGTGGCTTTTTGCATTTTCCTAATGGCTGATTAGGATTGATGTTGAACATCTTTTCATATGCTTATTTGACATCCTATATCCTCTTTGAGGGAATGCTTATTTTAATATATTTTGCCCATATTTCAATTGGTTTGTTTTTTTCTTATTGTTGAGTTTTGACAATTCTTTTTTATGCATACCTGTCAGCCGTGGGGTTGGCGAATATTATCCCCTAGTTTGCAGCTTGTCTTTTTATTCTCTGAATAGTGTCTTTTATAGTACAAAAGTTACATTTTGATGAAATCCAGTTTATTAGTTTTTTTTTTTTTAACAGAGTTTGTTTTTTGTGCCACATCTCGGAACTCCTCACCTAACCCAAGGTTATGGGTTTTCTTCGAAGAGAAGCTTTAGTCTTGTATTTTACATTTAGATCTATGATCCATTTTGAGTTGGCTTTGTATAAGGTATGACACTTAGGTCAAAGTTACTTTTTTGCCTATGGATTTCTAGCTGTTCCAACACCATTTGTTGAAAACACTATTTTTTCTCCATTGAATTGCTTTTGCACCTTTGTCAAAACTCAATTGGCCATATTGGTGTGGGTTTATTTCTAGATTCCCTATTCTGTTCTGTTGATCTATGTGCCTGTCCCTTTGCTAATACCACCCACTTTTGATTACTGTAACTTTATAGTAAGTTTAAAATTGGGTAGTTGGAGTTCTCCGATTTTATTCTTCTTTTTCAGAATTGATTTAGCTATTCTAGTTTCTTTGCCTATACATACAAATTTTAGAATCTGCTTGTCTCTGTGTACAAGAAATCTTGCTGAGATTTTCATTGATATTGTGTGGAATCTGTAGATCAGTCTGGGAATAATTAACATTTTTATTATGTTTAACCTTCCGATCCATGAACATAGTATGTGTCCCCAGTTATTTAAATCTTTCATCAGAGTTTTGTAGGTTTTACATGCAGATCCTATACATGATTTCTTAGATTTATACCTAAGTATTTTATTTTTTGAAACTATTGTAAATGTTACAATTAAATTAAATTTCAATTTCAATTTTTAGTCAGACATTGCTAGTCATGTTAGTTTACTGTGGCTGCTGTAACAAAATACCACAAACTTGGTGGCTTAAAACAACAAATTTATTCTCTCACAGTTCTGGAGGCCAGAAGTCTACAATCAGACCTGAGCTGAAATCAAGATGTGGCAGGGCTGTGTTCCCTCCAGAGGCTGTAGGGGGAGTCTGTTCTTTGCCTCTTCCAACTTCTGGTGCCTGCGGGCCTTCCTTACTTGTAACCATATTACTCCAGTCTCTACCTCCATCTTCACGTTGCCTCTCTTCTGTGTGGAATCTCCTATTGCATATCTTATAAAAGACACTTGGGATGGCCTTAGGGCATACCTGGATTATGCAGGATAATCTTCTCAAGATCCTTAACTTAATCATATCTGTAAAAACTTTACCATATAAAGTAACATTTACAAGTTCTAGGGATTAGAACCTACTATCTTTGAGGCCACTTATTCAGCTTACTATATTAGTGTTTAGAAATCAAGATTGTGTGTGTGTGTGTGTGTGTGTGTGTGAGATTTTGTATGTTGACCTTGTATTCTGCAACTTTGTGCTAACCTCATTTATGAATTCTAGCAGCTTTCAGTAGATTCTTTGGGATTTTCTACATAGATAATCATGTCATCTTCAAATAGGGATAATTTTATTTCTTTCTTTCCAATCTGTATGACTTCTATTTCTTTTTCTTGCCTTATTACATTGACTAGGACTTCCAATACAATGTTGTATAGGAGGGGTGAAAGTAGATATTTCTTGCTTTGTTCCTAATCTTAGGGGGAATACATTCAGCCATTCATCAGTAAGTATGATGTTAGCTTCTATTTCTTCTTAAGATGCTGCATTTTTTTAAATCATGAGTGGATATAAAATTTTGTCATGTGATTTTTTGGCATTAACTGATATAATTATATGTTTTTCTTTCTTTAGATTATTGGTAGGATGGATTACGTTCATTGATTTCTAAATATTGAACCAGCCTTTCATTTCTGAGACTAATCCCACTTCATTGTGATGTATTGTTATTTTTATATGTTGCTGGTTTTGATTTGGGCTATTTTGTTGAGGTTTTTTTATGTATATACTCATTAGAGATATTGGTCTATAGTTGTTTTTTTCTTATATTGTCTTTTTCTGACCTTGGTATCAGGGTAATTCTGGAATAAACTGGGAAGTATTCCCTCTTCTATCCAATGTAAGAGATTGTGGAAGTTTGGTGTTATTTCTTCTTTATATGTTTCATAGAACTTGTCAGTGAAAACTTCTGGGCCTGATGATATTCTTTCTCAGATTTTTAGCTAATTTAATTTTTTTCACAGTTCTATGACTATTTAGGTTACTTGTGCCATCTTGGGTGAGTTTTGGCAGTCTGTAGTTTTTGAGGAATTGGTCCATTTCATCTAAGTTGTCAAATATATATGCATAATATTGTTCATTGTATTCTGTTATTTTTATAATATCTGTACTATCCATAGTCTATTTCTCCTTTTTATTTTCTGGCAAGTTGTGCCTTCTCTTTCTTTTTCTTTGTCAATTTTGCTAGTGACTTATCAATTTTATGGATCTTTTCAAAGAACCAGCTTTTGGTTTTATTGCTTTTCTCTATTGTTTTTTCTGTTTCAATTTCATTTTTTTTTTTTTAAAGATTTTATTTATTTATTCATGAGAGGCAGAGAGAGAGAGGCAGAGGGAGAAGCAGGCTCCCAAGGAGCAGGGAACCCGATGCGGGACTCAATCCCAGGACCCTGGGATCATGACCTGAGCTGAAGGCAGACGCTCAACCATCTGAGCCACCCAGGCGCCCTGTTTCAATTTCATTGATTTCTTTATTTTTTCCTTCCTTTTGCTCGCTTTGGGTTTATTTTGCTTTTCTTTTGTCTAGTTTCTTAAGGTGGAAGCTCAAATTATTTGAGACTTTTCTTCTTTTCTAATATAAACATTTAATGCTATAAATTTCCTTATAAGCACTATTTTAGCTACATTTGACAAATTTCAATATACGGTATTTTCATTTTAGTACAAAATATTTTCTAATAACCCTTGTGACTTACTCTTTGATCCATTGTCAAACGTGTGTTGTTTAAGTTCCATCTGTTTGGAGATTTTCCTGTTTTTTATATTGATTTCTAGATTAATTCCATTATGATCTGAAACATACTTTGCATAATTTCAATTTTTTAAGTTTGTTAGGATTTATTTTGTGACCCATGATATGTTCTACCCTGGTGAACATTTGGGTTTTGAAAATTGGGTTTTCTTTCTGAGTTTGGGATTTGGGTTTTCTTATTCACTCAAGACTCTTTCTGGAAGGTTGTCACTCACAGCCCATTCTTTCCTTTCTCTAGAATATCCAGGATGTGAGGAGTGAGGACGAGGATGAGTATGAAGAAGAAGAGGAAGAGGAGGAGGAGAAGGAGGAAATCACCAAAGGCAAAGAGAGAGACTGTTTGAAGAATGGCCTCGGGGCCAGCAGGGACCTTATTCCCAACGGTCAACATGGCCATTAGCTTGATGCCCACGCAGCTCCAGGTGTACAGTATGCTATGAGGCCTGCCGGAAGCCAGAGCTGCTGCCCACCCCATGCCTGTGGCCTACAGGAGCCACAGGGACCCCCGATTCTGCCCTTCGCTCTTTTTAACCACCACCTTCCCCCCTCCTAAGATGTATTTAACAAAATGTTGTTAACTTGTGTTAAAACGTTAAATATAGCACCCCTATGGATTTACTGCAGTTAGGACTCCAACTGGTCAAAGATTTCAAAGATTTCTCCAGAGAACCATTTTAGTTCAGTTGTGTTCATTTATGCATGTGAGGCATGTGCTTTTTCCAAGAGCTCACTTGGTTGTAGGCCGTTTCACCTTGCCACCTTGCTCACCCTCGGGATGGCTTGAGAAGTGCTAGGCAACCCACTTTTCCAGGTGTGTTCAGCCACAGAGAGCAGCTGAGCCCCTCCCAAAAACAATGAGTTTTAGGAGGCAACACAGCAGTGGTGGAAGGAGCAAGCCAGGGGACCAGGCTTCCAGGACTCACTGGCCACTCTCTGCCGCGGGCGCTTCTTTAAACTTTCCAAGCCTTGGTGCTTCGTCTCTCCTATGGGAATCATAATATTTGCCTTGCCTACCTCCCAGAGTTGGAGTAAGGATCAAATGAGATCATCGAAGTGAAAGTATATACTGTCCACTGTGGGGTGACAGGGATCTGCCCCTCTTCTTATTATGATTCCGGCTCTGTTTGGGACCAGAGAGAAACCTGGCTAAACCTGGCACTGAATGGGCCTGAACAAAAAGCACAATCTAAAAAATTCCTTTTAAGTGTGTCTGGAGATTTCTGGAAATGCAAATATCCAGAAGGCTGTTTCCATTTTATTTGGTAACTGTTTGTTAGCTCCCCAAGGGTGATTCCCAAATTCCCCCAAATTCTCTGCCCCCGGCCCCCTACGGCACCCACCCCCCCCCCCCCCCGGCCAAGGGAAGCAAGGCTGGGCCCCATTCCTTCTTGTCTTTTGCTGGCCTCTCCCTTGCTTCTTCTCTAAGAGGGACCTTTCCTGCCGCTGCCCTGAGCCCCTCCTTCGGGCCAGCAGGGCTGCCCAGCCAGCACCGAGATCCATCTGGGGGCCAGTCTGGGGGAGTTAGACCCAGGGCAGGCTGCTCACCGAGCTATTATTTCCCAGAAAACCTGACCCTTTGGGGCACGACCTGCATGCGAGCTCCTGACCAAAGGGAAATCTTGGAAACAGAAAGAGGATGCTACCCTACTTCGCCTCTACTATCCAACCCAATCAGACCTCGTAAGAGGAAAACAGAACAAAACAGAGGACCAACACCCCTGAGAAATGTCCAAGGACAAGCGTTAGTCAATGATAGTTCCTGGGGCTTCTGACCTCTCTGGGAAGACAGATTCGGATAGGGGGCTGGCAGGTCAGTAGCCCGCTGGCTGGCGGCCCCCAAAGGGGGCACATCTGAGCCCAGAGTGCAGGGCAGACGTCAGAGCCTTCAGGAGCCGCAGAGCCTGGTGGGGTGGAGCCTGAGCAGAATATGCAAACACCACCCCGATCTCTCAGATTCTTGAGCCACATTCTGCGCCTTTATCCTGTTTTGCTTGGGGGCCCATATTATAAAGCCCAAGGGGAGCCAGCGCTGTGGGCGTGCCTAATAAAGGCACCCACATGGGCCCCACCAGATGTGGGCTGCAGCTGCCAGAGCGGGAAGGGCTGCACAACGAAGGTGTCTGCGTTTTTTGGCTTTGTTTTTGTTTTTGTTTTTTTAAGAAAAAGATGTTTTTGAAACCTTCAGAGTAAACCCAGACCAAAGCAAAAACCCTTCAGAATTCTTTCCTCGTCAAAAATCTCTTTTTGAGGAATCGTTAGAACAACAGAAAAACATATCTCAAGTTTTCTCTGCATGTTATTTGCTGTTATGAGTACAATAACATATGCATTATATGTATAATGTTATGTTATAAATCGAAAAGGCCTCCACTCACTTTAGGACATAGCTCTTGAGTTATTATTAATATTATATTATTATAATTATTTTTGGTGGAAGAAAAGCCAATTGAGACATTATTTTTTAGGTTTCCAGTTAACAGACTGTTTTTTCCCGTGATTTATTTTCGTCTTGTCTCTGTACCAAATATCTTCTCGCTTAAGGTAAAACAAAACACAACAAAACAAACCAAACCTGTGTTTTGGCTGCTCTATCCTCCAGTTCTCTTTTTCTTATTTTAATGTGGAAGGGAATATTGATATGCCAACTTCAGGGATCTGTGATACAGTTGGAAGCACTGAACTACCTCTGGAGAGGTAGATACGCATTTTTGTAGCATCCTTTAGGGCCCCTGTGGTCAATTTCAAAGGTAACCTCTCTTCCTACTGGAAACAAGGGCTCATATTATCCCAGATGACTTTATAAGAATACAGTCCACTGTGCCACCCATATTAGTATGATGGTAATGACTTATCATAAAACAAAGACAGAATCCGAAACACGTGGTGGCGAAACAGATTCAGCACCCACATTGCTTGGCTTCTTAGAGATCATTACTGGTCTCACCAGGAAATGGAAGAAAAGATTTGCCAGGCCTCTAGACATGCCCTGTTGGGAATCAGCGGGAAGAGTAAGAAGGACAGAGCCAAGTTAGGACATTAGGGTTGCTATTCCGACCTGACTGGGGTGAGCCTCTTGGCTGGGCACAGTGTAGACAGACAGACCGCTGTGGGCTGGAGTCTAACCTGGGTCATGGCATCTGGGCCCTGTGGCACAAAGCAGTGTTGAAATGCCAAGAAAAGGGACTGATCCTAAAGGTACTGTTTTGACGACACTTTCACTGTGACTGTAGATCAAGTAGACATTCAACAGATAAGAGAATATTATGAGCAACTTTATGTCAATAAATTTGAAGGTTTGAATAAAATATATAAGTTCCTAGAAAAATAACACTTGTCAAAATGGGTATAAAAGACTATATAAAATCTGAAATTTCAAAATGCACTCCTCCATCCCACAAAAAAACAAATCTCTAGGCCCAGATGGCCCATCCAGTGAATTCTTCCGATATTTAAGGAAGAATTAACCCGCGTATGACACAAACTTTTGTAGAAGCAAAAGGAACACTTTCCACACTTGTTTTTGAAGGCCTGCATAATCTTGATATTAAAATCTGACAAGAATATTAAGAGGCAAAAACCCAACAGTTATTGGCTAAGTCATTTGTGAACATAGGGGCAAAATTCCTCGACACAAGCAAACTGAATTCAGCAATACGTAAAGAAGAGAGCGTATGACAAACAAGTTAGGTTTATTTCAGGAACTTGCAGTTGATTTACTGTTTGAAAATCATAGTTATTCACCATTTTAAAAGAATAAAGGAAAAAGCCATGTCTTCAAAAGCTTTAGATAAAGTTCAACATCTGTTCATCAAAAACAAACAAAAAACAAAACAAACAACCCCACAGAAAAGTAGGAAGAGACTTCCTTAATCTGATAAATAGCATCTTCAGAAAGCATAAAGCCAGTATCAGATAATGCAGTAATGGCCAAATACCAAAAGCTTTCCCCACAGGGATTATCACGGAGACAGGGATGTCCGTTATTTTTAATGATACACATCATCCTGAATATATTCAACACTGTATTTTTCATCCTGCCCAATGTAATATTTCAAGAAATAAAAATTACAAGGCTTGAAAAAAAGAAATAAAAACTCTTCTCACAAATATAAGTGCAAAAATCCCCACACATTGTGTGTGTGCGTGTGAATTTATACAGAAATATCAAGGAACGAGACTGGCCAAGACAATCTTTAAAAGAACAAAGCAGAAGAACTCATTTTACTAAATACAGGACTTATTACAAAAAGATAGTAAAGCAGTGTGAAATTGGTACAAAGATAGACAAATAGAACAATAAAATTATATAAAGTCCAGGAACAAACTCATGCATATAGGGGCAGTTGGCTGTCCTTAAGGATAAAAATGAAACTTGATCTCTACTTAACATCACACACAAAATAAATTTCAGGTTTTTTTGTAGATCTAAATGTGAAAGGTAAAATAAATAAAGCTTCCAGAGGGAAACATAAGAGGACATCCATCTTCATGACCTTAAGATAGGCAGAAGGCTCTGAAAACATAAAGTATTATGCTTCAAGGAAAATAGTAACAAATCAGATTAAATGATAATAAAGAAGTTCTATTTCTCAACAGACTCCATTAAGAGAGTGAAAAGGCAAGCCACAGAAATATCTGCAACAATTAAAACTGACAAAGGGCTCAAATCCAAAACATATAAAGAGCTCCTACAAAAAAACCCTGACACCCCAATTAAAAAAAAAAAAATCAGCAAAGCACTTAACCAGATGCTTTACACAATACTGTATGGTCCAATAAACACAGGAGAAGGTGCTCAGTTTCATACATAGAACCATCAGGAATCATGCGCTGCTGAACGACTGTAGTTAGAGTCGCTTTGAAAACATTTGTCATCATTTCCTAAAATTGGATGCACGCACATATTATAATCCAGCAGTGTTACTCCTAGGTGCGTATCTAAAAGGCATGTGCATGAACACCAGAAGAATGCACGTGAATGTTCCCATCAGCAATGATCTTAATAACCTAAACAGGGCAGTCCCCAAATACCCTCCAAGAGTAGAACGGATAAGCCAATTGTAGTATATTTATATTACGGGATCCTATAAAGCAATGAAAGTGAAGTGGTATTTGCAACAATGTAGCTTCCTCTTACTATCTTAACTGTTTTGCAAAAGGATCTGGTGGAAAATGAATACATAATTTATGTCTCCGTTTTTTATAAGTTCAAAAAGATTTTCAGTCATTATTTATTTGAATACTTTTCCAGCCCCTCTCCTTTTTTCCCTTTTCATCCCGGAGTCCAACGACACAGATGTTAACCCATTTATTATACTTCCACAGGTCCCTGAGGCTACGTTCATCCTTTTTTGGGTTTTTGCTTGTTAGGTATTTCACTCTATTTTCTCAGGCTTCCCACCAGACAGAAGCTGATATATTGACGCAGCCCTGGCTCATCGGACGCCTCATGGCTTCCCCACGTGGTTTCCACTGACCCTGCAGAGCAGGGTACGCGTTCTCATTATCATCGGAGGGCAGTGAATGTCCCAGCTCCTCACTCGGCCTTCAGTGACACCAGCCCAGCATAGGGAGGGGGCCAGGATGCCTTGTTACAGCTGCTGAAAGTCTAGACTTCTCCCCTGATCTTTGCTGAGAGAAGTAAAGGTGAAGCCATAGTTTTCCCCACAGTGTCAGGATAGAAGAGTTGTAAATGTTCTCTGTTTTGCTAAGGTCCCCTTTCCTAGTCTCTTGGCCGAGAGAACAGGGTTCTTAGAGGGCTGTCTGTGCCCATGGACATTGATGGTTTGCTAGCTTCTCCAGCACTCAGTCCTGGATTTATGGGGCAGAAGGAAAACCCAACGAAGTCGCCACTGGGTTGTTCCTTGGGTCCTGCGGCCCCTAGCTAGTGTTCTTTTTTTTCTCCACCTTTCGGGGTCTTCTCATGCTTGCTTGAGGTATAATATCCAGGGTTTTTAACTGTACTTAGTGGACAGAATAGGGAGAAGTATGCTGACTCCATCTTGTCTGGAAGTCTTCTCTCGTAATAAGTAAGTTTATTCCATTCCTCTTTATTGACATAACACTTATATTCGTTCTAAGTTCTCTCTTATTTTCAGATTTTTTTTTTTAAGATTTATTTATTTATTTGCGAGAGAGAATGAGAGAGAGCACATGAGAGAGGGGAGGGTCAGAGGGAGAAGCAGACTCCCTGCCGAGCAGGGAGCCCAATGCGGGACTCGATGTGGGACTCGATCCAGGGACTCCAGGATCATGACCTGAGCCGAAGGCAGTCGCTTAACCAACTGAGCCACCCAGGCGCCCCTTATTTTCAGATTTTAATTCTCCCCTCGTTTCTATCTTTTCTGTAGGGATATTTTGCAGTACCTGTGCAGATGTGTTTACCTTCTGCTAATCTGGAAGCTTTACAGTCAAGTTAGATTTCTGAAAGATTATCTTTATACATGTTAGTGGGAGGTTATAATTTCAGATATTAACTACAGCCTCAGAGCTTCCAGTCTTATTAGGTTCTGGCTCATCCCAAGAAACTGGGGCGGGGAGGGGGGAGCCTTCCTGTTCAGGGTGACACAGACCAGGGGCCATGGGATAACGTTTGGCTCTAGCAGGGCCCTGAAGAAGGTTAGTCTGTCCTTTTTTCATGTGGAATGTCTTGAAAGGGAAGGGGAATCTAGTTCAAGTTTCTCATACGGAACCCTTTGTGTCTACCTGATTGTGGATGTGCTCCTTTGGAAAAAGAGAGGATAATTGGGGCCCACCAATATATATTTTAAATAGTATAAGCTGGGCATTTTTCTTACATTTTACTCAATTCGCAACCACTTAGGAATATTTTGTGCCACTAGGTTTGATCTTCTATTGGAAACCCCCATACATTCTGGAATTGCAGAAGGGGGAAACCAAAGAAAGCCGTGAGGAGGTCTGGGGGTTCTTACCAACTCTATGGGGGGGCTGTTTCCACCCACTGTCTGCTGACTCTGGGGAAGGCGATGCCTTATCTTCCATCTTCCACTAACCCCTTCAATAAGATGATTTTTGTGGAGCTTTACTTTCTGTCCCCGGTGTTAGAAAAACAAACTGGCCATTAGTGAGGATTACTGGAGGGGTCCATTTTTAAATGGGAAAACCTAAGTCCATCTAGAAGAAGGGACTTGCCCAGTGAGACCAGGTGATACTCAGTCCCATCCGGGCACCTTCCTCCACCTTTGGGTAAAGGACTCAGGCTCCTTGCCACGCCGCAGAGGCCCTGGCAGAACACAGGATCCATACGAAGTGGGCTGAAGCTTTCCCACTTGAAATCTGAACCGGAAACCCCACACCTTCCCTTCAAGGCTTGGCTCTGAAACCCCACACTGTAAGCGGCCCGCTGACTCTGGCAGTTTTCTTGGCTCATTCCCCCACTTCCCCCAGGGATAGCCACATATCCCCAGAGACTTTCCTGCTGGCATCCCTGGGTCCCTGGGAACAGCCCCCATCCAGCCCTGGTTGCTGTGAGCAAGGAAGTAACTCAGCCTTTCTCAGGGTGAGCAAAGCCTCCTGGGGCCGAGAAAGTCAGGCAGTTGCTGAGGAAAATCTGTCCCGGGTCCCAGTGAGGCAGAGACCTGCCCCTGCCTCCCCCCCACCTCCCGGCTGTTGTCTCGGTGCTCCCGCACCCCGCAACCTGTTGCTTTAAAAAAGGCCCTTGCCAGGCTGTCACTCTCCTTTGTCCTTGCAAATAAAACCTTCCACCAGGTGGCCCTCAAGCTCCTGTTCAGGAGAAGGGCAAGGCCGGGGAGGGGGAGGGGGGGGAGAGGAAGGGATGACAAAATCCATAGGCTTTTCAAGAGAGAGAATAGGCCACAGAGAGAAAGAGATAAATGAAAGTCTCAACCAGAGCTGCTCTGGGAAGACGTCTGTCCCTGGGCAGATGCCGTGGATGCCCAAGCCATTCGTCTGGGATTTGGGACAAAAGCACTTGGGACCCTTGGCCGGCCATTCTTCCGCGCTGGGCAACATCTCACACGTTCTGTTCTCCTTGGTCTCGGTGGGTGGTGGACAGGTTCCCCGGAACTCGCTGCTACCAGGTGCGCTTTGCCATGTGAAATCACTGGTCCTCCACGGGCACCCTTTGTTTTTATAGCAATGACATCCATCCGAGAACAAACCTAGCGATAGACAGGACCCCCTGGGCCGCATCCCTGGGCTTCTTCCTCACCAACCCCACGGGCTGAAGCAGACGCAGTGGAGACCTCGTGGGGCGGTCGCAGAGTGGACTCCATGCACCCCCTGCCCCCCACAGAGGCGGCTGGATTGGGGCTCAAAGTCTCTTTGCCCCGGG